CTGAGTTGTGTTTTAAAATGTTGAATTGTCTTTTCGCAACATTTATTGGGTAAAAGAAAAAATCCTAAAAACAAAGATGACAGATATAAAAGAGTCTCTTCTTATGTTCTCCATTAGCAGAATTTCACTTATGGACCCAATAAAAAACGAGATAAAGAAAACAATTCGGAGATTATTTTTCCCTTAGCTGAAATTTTAAGGCTGAGACAGAACAAACACAGACGTAGCTTTGGAGATCTTAAATTTGTCCTTTGTTCCTTACTCAAAGATCGCTTTCCTTTGGAGAGCATCAGAAAAAAAACAGTAAAAATTGCAACATTTGAAAACAGCATCAACTCCGGATCCCAAAGCTTTATCATCAAAGACCACCGGGATGGACGATCTGCTGTCTGAGCCTTTTCCTCGCTGGTTGACCTGCGTCTGTATTTATAAGTCATACAGTAACATCTAAATCTGAACATTGTGTAAAAGTGCATTTTATAGGGATTTATCCGACATATAGTAAAAATATTTAAGCTTTTACCGCTTATTCTGATGATTATAGCTACAGGTAAAGAAAACACAAAAAGTAATTTTAAAAATTATAATATCACAAACGAGAAAAGGATGTTTAAAGCAAAAATATCAAGCTTTTGAAAAGTATGTCAATTTCTATTCTTGTGACATAAACCATGATAATGATTTTGAACATGGGGAACCAATGTCCATTAACCATGTCTGTCCATTGGATGAGAAAGATTAACATTTTTCAGATTCTCCACTTCCACCATATGTTTTTAAATTATATTTGATCAATTCATACATTTACTGTTGAGTAAGGACAAAGCTGAGAAGATGGACGCATGGTACGCTAGGCTAACTTATCTGAGTTGTTGTTTATAGAGCTAAAACGAGCTTTATTTCATTAAGGGTTTAAACCTTAATAAAATGTTAAACTTACTGTATTTTCTCACATGTTCATAACATTTTGATTACCAAGTTATGACAAAACGTCATTTAATGGGAGCCCTCATGTCTGCTAATATCTAGCTCACAAGAAGAGTCAATTAACTACAGATTATTGGTTACTGATTAAGCAGGAATTTATATTTTGAATCGGTTTGAAAACATTCTATTTGCTCTAAAGTAGTTAAAAGCTTATTTGATCTCATCCTAAATTGTTCAAGATGAACCTTGGTTCTCTAACATAAGTTCATGCTAAACTGTGAAATCATTACATCCTCTCATTGATTATGATATTCAAACTTTTTTTTCCCTTCTTTGGATATAGCAGTTTCACTAGTTTTAGAAAAGTTTTTAAGTGAAATATGTTGGCTTTGGAGCTGAATTATTTTTGTTAATAAACTCTTATTTTGAAAGGAAGGTAGTTACTGTATTCCATGTATGTGCAGAATTATTTGTTTCACCGTGGGTTAAGCTCAATTCACAGTTTCATTTTAATCTGGAAAACTCACAGGAAGAGAAAAGACAATTAGGAGAAATTTATTGATACAATTACTTAGTCTTTGGCGCTCAGACCTCAGCAGGAAACATAGAAATTAATTTTGACAGATATGCATGGACAGGAGCAAAGAATAGGGCTGTTTCCCCCCCAGGCCTGAAACTGGTGGTGGAGTGGAGATAGTTGAAGTTGGTCAGTCTGTAGACTGCTGGTTAGACGGTCTGCTGAGCTTTATGGAGAGCTCCAGTGGATTGTCTGAGCTGATACTAGAGCTTCACTCAGGGACGTGGAGGATGGAAGTCCAGTTGGATAACACAGGTTGAGAGAACCTGTCCATGATGAGCAAGCATAAAGCGACAGTGGAGAGGAAAAACTCCCCGTTGGAAAGAAACCTCTGGCAGAACCAGACTCAACATGGCGGCTGCCAGACCGGTTAAGATGAGACAGGGAACGCAGTAAGAGTCCGGGAGGAATGACTCTGTTGAAGCTTTAGCTACGATGGTGGAGGAGGGGCTGGAGGTGGGTTGAAACTGTGTCATCTGAATGAAGTCACACAGTGCATCCACCGCCTGCGCACTGGAGCAGACAAGTGCATATCGGAGGCCTTTTAAGATGAAACATGGATGCTGATTGGCTTTTTTGGAGGTGTGGTTCAAAGCTGCTTGGCTGTGTCGCAGGTGGATGGAGGAAAGTAATGGGTTTCTTCAGTTGAACTTCCGCCTAGGCTCCATTTGTGATTTTAACACGGAGGCAGTAGGGCATGTGTTCACTAAAGCCGTTTTCGGGCCCGACTTTCCAGTCGTGCGAGAATTTTTCGATCGGGCCGACTTTCAGCCTGATCGTGCGTTGTGTAGTGTACAGGGTGTAACGAGGGGGGATCAGCCTCTCACGACCACCTCCCGATCAGGAATGGTGAGGGCGGGAGAAAATCAAACATGTTTGATTTTAAGTCAACCGTCGTGAGCAAATCGCTCAGTGGGCAAACAAGGATTCCTCTTCTTTCTCTCAGATGAAAACACAGAAGCATGGCGGAGGTGTGAGTGAAATGGAGTTCTTTCTGTAAAATTGACAGACCGTAGTAGCCATGTTTGCTTAGCCAGGTTTTTGTCCAAATAAGTCGTTGCCTTTTCTTCTTAGGGCTTTCAGCACAAAATTGCAAAATTGCCGAGACAGCGAGTTTCAGTCTAGTGAGGTTCATATTCTTCTTCTACTCATTTGGCCTCCGGATAGATGAGTTCCAGTAGTGCCATCTCTCTCCGGGGTTGAGTCCAATGTAGTTGTTAGACGTGCACTGTGAGCCGGTAGATCGGGTCAGAGCGTCCGGCCGCACATGCATTGTGAGCTGTAGCTGCGTGCAAAGACTGAAAAACGACAGTGTAAGTCCGGCTTAACTATGTACGGAAGTCCGGATATTTTCTGCTTAATTAACGTATTTACTACCGCTATTAGGGTGAGCAATAAATATATTATAGCTGCACAACACTATTCACCTCAATACCTGGTATTTAGGTGAATAACTTACTGCACAGTGAGCTGAAACAATCAAGATTATTCATGTTTAATCGATCATTAAAATATTTATCAACCAATTACTAATTACAACTAATTTAGTAATCGATTAACTGGAGTGTAGAGACTCTAAAACATGTCTTTAGCTGACAGAGCAACCTAGTTAGAGTAGTAATTACACCAAAATTGTTAAAAAAAATTTTTTTATAAACATATTACATTTAAGATAAAAAAAAATTTTTCCTTCTATCAATATGCTCTATCCAGAACTCCTCAAGTGGAAAACTTTTAATTTAACCTGGTTTAATTCAGTAAAAAATCTTCTTTAAGGAACAATTTGCTATCTGATTGTTCATCGATTAATCAAAGAATTATCTACAGATTAATTGATTAGCAAAATAATCGTTAGTTGCAGCCCTACTGCATGGCATGACGCCTTGACATAGAGGCGGTCAGTCTGCAGCACTTTGTGGGTTTCACAGACTCCAGGTTGCTTTTATAGCAGCCTCCTGGTCATCTGTAACGTTGGGTCTAATGTTTCTCATCTTCATCTTGACAGAAGCTCATAGATTTCAGGGGGAAAAAAACATTTAAAACAGATCAAATGTTGCGAGCTATATACACTCTCTTTCAGGGATACAGTATTTTGAGTTTTAATGATCTGTTAGCCATAATTATTAAAAAAAGGAACAAAACGTTGCAACATATCACTCTATCTGTAAATACTCTATACAGTTTTTAAATCTTTCTTTTTTTTTGACATGACATGACTGAAATGTAACTGTGATTCAGTCCTTGACACCACGCTGCAGGCAGTGAGCTGATTTTCTGTTTCTAAGGGAAGAGATCAACTAAACATTACGTAACGAATCTGACTGTACTTTCTCCATCAGCTGCAGCACTGATTTAGGACTCAGCATCACCAGAGATCATGGAATGCACAGAGGATTGGAAAGCTATTTGCAAATTCAGCAGAACCTTTAGCTTGTGTTCAATCTCTTGCAAACGCATTTATAAACCTTTTCACATGTCGGTTTCTACAACATCACGGTGTAACCATAACCTTTGATGTTTCCCACTGAGGTCTTTTTCTTAATTGAGCAGAAATTCTTTAACAAATACAAACATTAAAAACCTCCTTTATTCCACTATCCCTGCTGATCCTTTAATGGGAAATTTGTGTATTCTTAGACGCCTTTTGAAGTATTTTTATTATATTAATATATATATAAATAAAACAGGCTATAGAAATAGAAACCTAAGGTGGTTTTTCAGGTGCAAATGCACAGTAAATGACGAAACAAACTGCATATTCATGTGATGCAAAGTCCAAAACACACAAGCACAAAAAGCAAGGCGCAGTAAACAACAAACCGAGCTGCATAAACATGATGCAAAGTCCAAAACTCACAAACTCAACAAAAAAAAACAAATGCAACAGAAAAATGCTGCAAACAAAAGAAAAATGTTGCAATAACTAAAAATAAAAGCAAAAACCTGTAGAACACAAAACAAATGGAAACAAAAAAAATGCACTAATTGCAAAGAAAATGCTGCAATCAGAGAAAAAATTATGCGAATAGTAAAAACAGCTGCAAACTCAATCTTAAAAAACCAGAAGTGCTCCAGACCACTAGAGGGACCAAACACAGAACAATGTGTTTTGGACTTTGCATTATAGCTGTGCTTGCAGCTCATTTTGCTGTTTGCTGCATATTTTAATCTGTTTGCAGCTCATTTCTTTTTTGTTTGAGCATTTTCCTTTTGCATTTGTCGTCTGTGCTTGCTTGCAGCACGTTTTTTGCAGCTTGTTTCATTGTTTACTGCAGTTTGGGAGCCATCAGCAACTATAAAAACCTAGTATCACCCTCTGAGACCACTACTGTTTAGCAAACCCATGCAGATCTTTTCTTTACTATGTACAAGCTGCAGTTAAAACTGTAATTTTAGATGTAAATGAAATAAATTGGAACCTGACCGATAAAAATATGTGCCATGTTAGCAGCCAGTCACAACATATTTGCAATGTGCAAATAAAAGAGGCTCATACCAGAAAATGTAGTCGTTGCTCCTCTGTGGGTTCCTCCTGCTGGGAGGAGGTCGGGCTAAGGCCCGGTGGGGGCGTCACTTGCAGCCACGACTCCTCCGCCTCTGCCGGAGTCTTCTCACACCTGGATGGAGCTTCATCTAACGCCACACGTGGGGTCTCTGCTAAAGCCTAACAGGGGCAGAAGAAAACAACATTTATACCTGATTAATGTAGCAACAAAACTGTACAGTGAAACCTAAATCTGCAGGAAGGGGATTAGCGCTCAACCTCCTTCCAAGTGGTCCAACTACAATCAAAGAATAATCCAGGGGAATCCCTTGATCCTCCAACATGACTGAAACACATTGGCGGTAGGTCTGTCCTCACTAATTAGCCTCAGTGTAATGACTTGCATGTTTCACTGAAGATATCTCCTCCTGATTTTCTCCACATTTATTCAACAAACAGCCCCTATATGGTTTTGCAGCCTGAGGAACAGGTGGAGGAAATGTTTCTACTGGGCAAAGGATCGGGAATCAGTATCTAATTTTAGAACAAACTTGCTAATTCTCTGAGTAAAACTGTGCTAGTGCAGCCAAGGCCATGACCCAATAACAGGATCTAAGATGTCCGTCCACGTGCCCAAAGAGAGGCCCTGCTTTACTCTTCTATGGTTTTATACAGACTTCCTTCTCCAGCATCAAGGCCTGATAAGTAGTTTTGGCCGATCTGTTGAGTTAGACGAGGCTGTCTTAGGTTGATCTTTTGGATAAAAGGCCAGATGGAGGCAGAGATGAAAGGCCTGCTGGAGGCTCTGCAGCCACATAGAAAGATCAGCTTCATTCCTTATTTTTATCTTCCTGAGTTCATGACAGGTTCTGTCACATCACAGATGAACATAGCAGAGCTCCCCACATTTTAAAACTAGTCAGACATCCTTGCACCAGTCAATCCTCACGCGACTCCTAATAAGCTTGCAGCACCTTTTACCGTACACACTGATTAAACAGGTTAAAGTAGATAGAATTAGATCCGCTTGTCAAGCTTCTGCGTCGGTGGCAGCGGAAACGGTGGAGTGACCAGATTGAATGTGTTTGAATGGTGCTGCATGTTAGGGAGATTTTTCTGTTTGTTGTGATCACATAATCCTGTGAATACATTTCTTTTTTAGAATCGAAGGGGTGAGATTATGGTCTAAAAATGAATTTAACATCCATTCTTCCACCTTTTTAAAAAGACTTCACTTAATTCTACTTCCTACACCTATTTATTCACTCAAGCAGTCACACACCTGCAAGGCTACACAGAGATGGGGAAGCTAGACTTCCTTAGGCTCAAGGTTATTTCACCACCGATGCATTTTGCTCAAACTGCACCTTGTTGTGATGAAGCTGTATGAGAAGACCTTGACAGATATTTGCAGCAGTTTAAGATAGCAAAAAAACTTGATAGTGCTTTGGTGGCGCAGTGGTTAGCGCACACCACCCATGTATAGAGGCTACAGTCCTTGACCCAGGTTCAAATCTGGCCTGTGGTCCTTTCCTGCATGTCTCATCCCCTTTCCTGTCAGCCTACTGCCCATAAAAACAAGCCAATCGTAAAGCAAAAACAAAAAAAAGGCCCAAATAATGTACAGACTCAGTGATTACCAAAGATCTCCCTTTACCTCACTGAAAACGCGTTGTTTGTACATATGTCACCTCAAATCTCTGTGGTACTCCTTTGTATTTTTTATTTATTTTATTTTTTTATTCCTAATGCTCCTTTTCCTCCTTGTTTGCACCTTCTTTAATTACTATGCCAATATGTCACCAGTGAATTTCTCTGCTGTGAGATCAATAAAGATAATCTAATCTAATCTAATCTTGTTCGTATAATTTCTTTTTATAATTGTGTCCTTTTGTTTGCTGTTGGGAAGTCTTGGTACATTTAATATGTTTTTAATATACTCTGGGAAACAACATAAGTGTTTACAGTCGTAAATATATTTAGTTGTACAACGTTTTTTTGTGTTCATCAGGGTTTTGTTTAAACACAATAAAAAAGGTTAAAAAGAAAAGGGTAACAACCAGACTGGAACTATAGCAACGGCAGCACAGATTAATGGACTTTTATAAAATATATGTGTTTAAAAAAAAACACTAAATACAATAGGAAAGGAAAGGGAAGCCTGATTATGAATTAATCTGTCTGTCCTTTTTATTTTATTGTTTTTAGATCAGCTGTATCATATTACTTTTGGCATATATTCTATGGCAAACCTTTTCCATTTTTCAAATGTGCATAAAAAAACATTTTCTTTCTCTAAATGAACTGTATAGGTTAGGATTTTACTGTGATAAATATCAGCTACTATCTGAGCAGTTTCTGTTTCATCAGCTTTTATAAATGGTGTTTTCTCCAGCTGTTATAAGTATAACACTTTGACTACAATTTTGAGAAACCTTTAATGATCTCAGGAGTAGAAGATTTTTGATTAGACTGATGAGGGCTTTCTTAGGGGTTTCAGGTTTTCTTCGAAGCCAAATCTGATTTTCTGCATCCTCTGCTTTTATAATTTTATTTTATTTTTTCCAGCTTTGGTAAGTATAGTCCACAGCTACTGTATACACCTATAGGCTGCGTTGTTTGGGTTCTAAGACCAAGAAACATGCTTTAAAATTTAAGTTGTACACAGGCTTTTAAAATATGTCTAAGGGCAGTGTTTTTATACTTTTTATTTAAATATTTACGTACAGCCTGATATCTCCAGAATCTTCCGCACGGACCAAGTCTTTGTGAAAAACGACCACTTTGACACAAAAGGGCTTATTTTACCAGCAAAGTGAGGTCAGCTTCAAAAAGTAAGGACAATCTGCCAATCCTCCCTCTGTTATGGTGTCCTTGGCTTCAGTGTTAGGGTTAGGCCATAAGTCTAAAGCCTCACACTGATAATACCAAACCATAATATTGCATATTTGCACCATTTTTATTGAATGAAATACTGAAATGCTCTGAACGTCCATATCAATGCGTGTTTGCACAATGTGTTTTTTTTTCTCTCCCACACTGTTTACATTTGATCACCGCTGCACTCAATGAAAAGGAAATGTTAATTTCACTGCTAAGCTGCTGCTCATTCACTGTCTGAAAGCTGTTCAAAACAAAATTTCATTTTTATACATTCTGTGTATACAAAATTACAATAAAAGTTATCTAAGTATAAATAATTGGGTTTTTACTATTAGACAGAAACATGAGTTTTAATTAAACTAGATGATGTTATAAATGTTATAATAAAGTAAAACTGTAATATTTCCACTCAATGTTATCCCTCTGGTCTATGTCTCCACTTGAATGTTAGACATTTCAAACTGACACGGTTTATAAATAAATGATATGCAGTAATCCTCTTGTTTTTTTCCTGCAGCTAAACTTCTCTGCAACAGAGCAACTGTTTCCCTGAGATGATAATTTCAGAGCAGATAGAATCGGTGTTCGGATGATGTAAATCTAAAATGATTTAGGTGAATAACGTCGTAGAGCTGACTGTTATGTAAGCTCTTATTTATACTGTGCTGAGCGTAAATAGGGATCCAGCAGAGAGCATCTGATCAGAGCTTCTGTGATAAATGTTCACTTATAGACACACTGAAGTATAAAAAGCTTGAAGTAGAGTAAAAACTGCCCCTAAGTTTTGTTACTAGAATAAAAGTCTTTATTTGTTCTTTAATCAACGAAAACTAAAACATTTTGTGAAATTCTGGGAATATTGTTAACTAAAATATCTGCAATTTAGATCAGTTAACTTCAATGAATATAAAACGAAATGACTGGGAAAGGATAAATATTAACAGTAAAAATATACAAAAATAAACCATTCAATAAAGTTCAGTAAAAATTATCCTTCAGATTCTCTTGGATCAGAAAGAGAGGAGTAGAAATAGTTTAGGTGTTTCTAATTTATTTTACTAATCCAAACATGTTTACATTTTAAATTTGAATTAAGTCTCAGCTCAGAATTTCTAGAAGAACTAGTAAGAAGTAACGTACAGACTTCCCTTTCCTTTCCTCAGTTTTTAAAACTATATTGTATTTAGTAGTAAGAAACAACTGTAAACATTTAAAGCAACCCCCTTTAAGGTTTCAAACCGACCTGAATATCAGTGTATAAACGTGTGAATAAGTGAATGTTACCCTAATGTTCAGATCAGAATAAAGTCCATTTACTCAATATATTTATTTTCCCACTCATTGTTAATGACTCAGTTAATGAAAATATGCTTTAAGATAGAGAGAGAGAGAGAGTTACCATCTGATTTGAAACAGTTCTAAGGAAAACTTAGTGTAAGAAAGAAGGAAAGCTACTTTGGTGAGATGAGACTGAAAGCAGAGATATTATTGTTGATGTTTTTTTTTTGTTTTTTTTTTAATTTACTGTAATTTGCTTATTTTTCAACTAGTAATAAAATGTGCAAGAAACCCTGATTTGATCCCAATAGGGGAAACTGCAGAGTTAAAGGAACCATCATTCCCACAATTTTCCCAAGTTTCCATCTTTACATCTCTCCAGTATTTTCAGATAAAGCGAATAATCTTAGAATGTGTCTAATAATAATTATTATTAATATTGAACTTCATTGAAGAAATATTCCTCTGCATTTAACCCATCCTCTTGGGGAGCAGTGGGCTGCCATCGTGGGGCGCCTGGGTAACAGTGTGGGTTAAGTGTATTGCTCAGAGAGCCAGAGTGTCAGTCTGTGGGAGTGGGGCTCAAACTCAGAACCTCTGGATTCCAAGCTCTACGCCCTAACCACTAAGCCGCCACTCCCCTCTACCGTCTGTATGGTGTCTAATGAACTTTTAGTTTCCGACAAATGTATTTACATTAACTATTAAACCCTCTCCAGGAATCTTTCCATGGTATCCCATTCTTTGTCTTCTATCTGGATTTTTTACTTCAATTCTCGCTCTACTCTCTACTACTGATCTCTATTCAATTCTACTTCTCTTTTAAATGTCTAAGGGTGCCTCTTATACAAATTCAAAACGTGTCTCCTAGTTGTTTTTTTTCTTTTCTACAGTAGAAATTAGTGTTGAACCGATACCAGTATCGGACGGGGCCCCGATACTGCCCTAAAATGGTGGTATCGGTATCGGTGAGTACCAACAAATAGGGCACAGATACCATTTTGAGAGCCATAAGTTTATTCAACTATTGTCACCCATTCCAGGTAGGCAATAAAAACTTTTTATTTTTTATTATCCAGTAGAACTTTTTATTAAACCACTAAGCCGCCACAGTTTTATTAAAAAGTTCTACTGGATTCACTTTGTATTAGATTTTTTCCTGCTTCACAAAGGTAGGCAGCAGCTTGACAAAGCCATGATGGTAATTATTTAACATTATTATAGTATCGGTATCGGCCGATACTGCACAGCCAGGTATCGGGTATCGGTATCGGGGCCAAAAAATGGCATCGGCGCAACACTAATAGAAATCAAATATTGTCCTATATCCTTTTGATCTTTATTAATTCTCCTCTTTTCTTTAAAATTCATAATATGATGTATAATTAGCAGAACTCTATACATATAATTTGCAGAAGGATCAAAATGCTCCCTGATTTGTGAAAAATACTTTTTTCTTAACAACTGGTTGAGCGTAATGAGTCTTTTTTTTTCATTTTCTATATGTGGAAACATGTCTGTGTTTCTCTTCAGACAGAGAGGCAGAAAAAGCTCCAACAGATATCATATTTGGTAAACTGTGATAAAAATGGGCTTTAACTGGTATAACTGTTTTTGTGGGGCACCTCAAATATATATATATATATATATTTTTTTTTTTTTTTTTTGCATTTATAATTATAATATAAAATACAAAATTTCATGATAAAAAATGTTTTTTAGTTTCATTCTGTCTGAAAAAATGTAATATTTTTATTCATCAAAGCCTCTTTGATTTCTTTGCTGTCTTTCTTACACTAAAGGTTGTTTTTTTCCACACTACTTTTGCAGTTGGGACCAAAAAGTACAAACTAAATGACTTTTATACTGTAAATAAACTACAAACCAGTTAATTACTTTATATATTATAGGCAGATATGCAGATCCACAAAATCCAAATTTACTAAGAACCCCGGGAGTTTTGAGCTGGTCCTGTAAATACTTTTCAAGCTAAATGGATATTGTTTTTGCAATAGGCTAAAGAGAAACTTAAATAAGTTTAAGACAATTATTACAAATATGAAACACCCAGATAGCAATTTATATAACACTCCGTTATTTAGGAGCTGCAGACATCAATGATGATATAGACCACAGGATTCCAGAATCGGGCCCCTGAAATGATTTTAAATGGCCACTGAACAGTTAGAGAAAGAGACAAATCTGGTGATTTTATAAAATTTTGCATAGACCAAAATGCAGAATAACCTTGATGCTGGGAATAGACTTAATACATTTTCTAGACCAACAAAACAGAAAAAAAACTGTACACCTTCCTTTATTTACACACTTAGGAGACTCCATCAAAAATACAATAACCTGTTGATTCATACATCGTTTTGGTAAAAGTAAAGCATTCGTAATGTATTTCTGGACAGGCAAAGAATTGCTAATGAAAATATTTTGCTTTTTTAATAAAAAAAACAATTATATATACATATTTGGACAACACTGATATAGACTAACGCACTTTGACAACAGTTTTGAATAACTGTTGATGATCTCAGAAGAAGATTTTTGATTAAACTGATGACGGCTTTCTTTTGGTTTTCAGGTTTTCATTGAAGCCAAATCCTGACTTTTAGAGCAACTCTCAGTTATGAACAACAGCTTATGTCACCAGCATTTATCAAAGTTAAAAAAGTAGATGCTGTGGATTGATGTGTTTATTGACAAGAAAATGGTGGCAGTTCTTATTTGTGATCCATTAAATCAATTGAAATAAACAGCAATGATCAAAAATCTAAATGGATAAAGGGAAAGTTTGCTAATATTAATCTCTAACTATCTGACTGGTGAGTCAATAATGGATTATATTAAACAAACAATTTAATAGCAGTATATTTGAAATGAACTCAGATCTCCATCACATATCAATGAGAATCATTTGATGAAGAAGAGTAAAGTCAAGATGAAGGTTCACTGTAATTCAGTGGCGACAGCAGGAGCCTGTAAGCACGGTAAAGGATGTAGCGCCGTAGATCACTTGTCCTTCCTACATCCCACTGATGCAGCCAGTGGATCCTGGAGAATCTAGCACAACCTGAGCCCAGGCGTACTAAAGCAGGGTCACTTCCCATCCAGCAGGCCCTGGATGCCATAAGCACATTGGTGTAATCCCTGCAGACTACTGAAACGGGTAACTGGATCACTTCTTTTAAAAGCACCTTAATGGATTGGCCTGGCCGTTGATTTTCTTTTTTAATGCAGAGAATATCGATGTCCATCAATCAAGCCTTTAACCGCGCCGTCCCTGGTTTTCCTTCCGTCTAAATTCCGCTTCCAAGAGGATCCAAACTATGCCGGTTACAAAACCCTGCATCTGACGGGCTGCCCTCACTAGGCCTCATGCTTTCTGATTTGTAAGAAAGCGGCAGTCGATCATAAACAAGGTGAGTGGGGATGTTTTGCCCAGATTGCTGAAAATTATTTTAGATTTGAAAGAGAAATCTGGAGCGGTGCAAGTCACCCAGTTATAAACTGACTTGTAGAAATAATTTAAAAAAGGGAAAATTAGTCTAAAATCTAAAACAAATCCAACAACCTTAAAACTGCTTTTGCAAAACCTTCATTTGTGATGACACCATTTAGTTTTTCTCCTATTTGAACCCTGCTGAGTTTCACATTCACACCGAATGGACACAGTTAAGCAAACAGAACCAGAAGAAACAGAGATCTGGCTTCAGAGAAAAACTTACCCCTTTAGTGTGATCTGTGGCAACATCTAGGCTTCCCCCCTTTGGCCTGCTAGTTATCCAGAGCAGGGCGAGATGGAAAAGTCTCTAGTGTGGCTGCAGTCTTACCTACCATCCAAAACCCTCTCACCGCTGCTACAGCAACAGAGAGCGGATTACTGGACTGTACCATTCTGTTAGGAGGGGATTAGAGTTCACACAACATGGCCCCTTTCTGGGAGCGCGCGTGGCTCTGGAAGTGCATGTGTGCGTCCCACAGATGAGAGATTACCACAATCGGCATTCTCACTTGAGCTTCACAGGCGGAGGAGAAATTTGCAATAACATTATCTGTGAATCAAATGAGTGCCTTTAATGTTATGTAAAATGATTTTTATCAAACGCAGGCCGCCTCTTTTTGATCTATCCCTCAAAAGGACGCTAGAAGCAGAAAATATGAACCAATATTCATGCTTTACATAGCAACATTTTTCCAATTACAGACAGGAGGCGGATTGCTACAAGAGAAATTAATTAAATATGTTTTTTTTTCTGTTTTAGGGGTAAAGACTGATAACTCAGACAATACAGCTGTGTAGCAGCGGCGAGTACAGAGAAGATCAGCATCACACGCAGAGAGGATCAGAGGTTATGACTTTGGTAGCTTTGATCAGGCCCAAGTTAAAGACGGGGAATCGCCTCATTATGGCTGCTAGCAGATTAGTATCAAGTCCAATGACAAGCCATTACATAATACTGCCAAACGGCCTCCGTGCCAATGTAAACAGAGCAAACCTCTGAGAGCTGCATTTTGCATTTACCACCACAGCAACTTTAACCCCTTCTGTGTTTTAGAGGCAACAGGGCAACGTCTGGTTATGCAAGTAAGGGTCAAGACTGCTGCGTTTGTTAATCAACCCTGAAAAACACTCATTACTGTTAGACTGAATACACAGAGCTCTGTCGTTAGCAGGGGGTCAGTGTGTGGAGTTACAGTAAGCGCTGTGTATACTCCTGCAGCAGTGTGTCGCAGCGAGCTTGTCGCAGGTATGATGCAGACATTTTTGATTTATGCTCAATTTTGAAGCGTGGCTGCGCCATGTTTATTCCACGCCACAACACAAAAGGGGCAAATCCTGAACTAGCTGTGGGTCTCAATACGGTCGAGGCGGTGAGGAAGTGGGGACAAGTTTGTCCGACAACGGAGGGGCATGAGGGAGAAAAAGAGCGGGGATCCAGGGGAAAAAATGGTCCCAGCGTTCTCGCTCACCTCGTTCTTCTAGCTGGTCCAACTTCACAAGTCGTTTTCCACAATTGCGGTTATACAAACAAAACAAGCTGGTAAGGTACCAAACAGAAGATACAGATAGTGTAGAGCCGATATAGATTTGACCAATCTGAGGCCTCCTGTCTGCGGCACTGTCTGCAATCACCTACAATTTGGGAGAGGTGCAGGAGAGTGTCTGTGGAAGGGGCGGGGGCGTGCCTGCTTTCACTGTGACAACTACGCAGACGACCTGGTTTCGTAGTAGTATAAATCAGCCTTTAGTATTGTGATCCTTTACCTTCCCCTGGCCCGACTCTTTGGCGTTTTCCTCACTCTTCTCGGTGCCGTCACCGTCGTGCCTGAAGCCGCCCCGCTGCTGGGTGGAAGTGACGGACAGCTGCCTCTGGAGCCGCAACACCTCCTTCTGAGACTCTCTGAGGAGCTTCTCGTACTCCAACTGAGGCGACCGAACAGGGGAATCCTGTGAAACGAGGTCAGGAAAACATTATTAAACCTATCTAAAAAAGTAAAAAAGAATCCACTGGAGTCATTTCGCTTCCCATCCTGGAAGCTTTTTCAAATCAAAATGTCAGAAATAGCATCGAGTTTGAGGCTTTGTAGAGTGGATCAAAACAAAGCTTATGAAACCACCCCTTATGAATGGGGAGTCATTTTGGGATCCTTGTTCGCCTGCAATACCCGATACTGGTCTACGCCTCTGAAAGGGGGTTCTTAGGAGGAACTGTTGGCCTGGCTGAACCTTTCAGTTTTGGAATCAATTCTTTCAATATTTTTAGATCTTTAAGATAAATTGAAATATCTAAAGAAGTTGTAGCTTCTACATTAAAGACACTCAGTTTAAAACCCCTATATGTAATGCTTAACACATAACACCTATTAATATGAAAGCTAAGATCAACAGTTTCTGTCAAAATGTGAAAGTTTTAATTGTTTAATAAAGACCTCTTGTTTCAATTGAACTATAACTGCTCCCCAAATAAACCTATTCTGCTTTCCACCCAGCAGGGGCTCAGATTAGGCAGAATCAGCTCTAATTTACAGACAGGCAGTGAGAAAGACAGCCTGTTCCTGCACTGTCATCTATCCAGATATCAGCAGTGACGCAGCCTCTGTAATACAGGCTTAGTTGAGATGGAGCAATACCTAAACTGACCAGCAGAGGGCAAGCTTGTGGTGGAGATGACAGCTGAGGAGAGGGTTTTAAACTTTAAGCTCATTCTACAGCAAATAATTAGAGGGAAAACTAAAACATTTGCACCTTGGCGGGTCCCAGCCGTGCCTCGAGCTGCCGGCACTCCTGCTGCAGAGAAGCAATCTCTTTGTCCTTAGATAGGAGTGCATCCGCATGCTGGGCCAGGTCACGAGCTCGTTGGCGGGCAAAAGCTCTTTTGTACTGCTCCACGGCTCCAGGTCTAATAAGCGAAGGAGGATTCACCTAGATTGGAAAAACAGAATTTAAATAAAATAAGGTTTTCTATACAAAAAGGAAACAAACTTGGTTTTTAAAGGTATTAGAAATGCATTCTAGGAATGCTCTAATGCAATCCCGTTTATCTAACCAGGGGCTCAATGCAAAAACTTTAAACAACTAATGGATTCCCTAAAGATAAACTCTGCTCCCAGGGCATTTTCTGATTGTACCAGCTGAGTTTCCACTAAGATCCATTTCAGTTTCTTAAAAAACATGTAAAATAGCTAATGGAAATTATTAGGGGCTTCTTCCCACTTTATAACTGAGTTATTTTAAAAACAAAAAAACATCTGCAAAGCAGCTAAATCATTAAATATGACTATCTTCAATCAAATCCCATTATTTTGTGAAGCATTTCATAAAGAGTTGGCCCGGAGCTGCTTTTCTCTCCCAGAATGGTGTCTGGACAAAAAAACAAAAACATAATAGGGTAGACTTGAGTAGATTGTCCAACAACCACCTGTAGTCATCAGAGCACTCTGAGAATGTGACATTTAAATCGAGGGAGTTGTTCAAAGAGATTCCAGGAACGCCATCATAGAGCTTTATCCAGAATGGCACTGTTCTAGGAACAGCAAAATTATGAGAAAAGTCCTCAAGCTCCCTGCCAAAGGATCAACACTAACACAAAACTACTTATCATGTTATGCTAGCTACTTTTTAGCCGATGATCAGGCATTGAGACAAAGGTCAGGCATTATTAGGGCGGTGTACCACTTTGAGGTTGGCCTCCTGTAGTTTCCTCGCTCTTTCTTCCAGTCTCTTTGCAAGAACAGTCAGCTCGGTGTTCTTTCTCCTCAACCGCCTGACCTTCTCCTCAGTCTCTGGGGCGCTGCTCTTTCTCTAAGAACACACAAAACAAACAACTTGATCACAAAGTGTATATATCTATAGATATTTATGTCAGTTTAAAGTCGAATGTCACACAGAAAAGCATGAAAACATGAATAAAATGAAACAACCGAATAAAGGTCTGTAAAATAGAAACTAGTGGTGTTAGAATTCTCTTTGTTAAGTATTTTGTGGGTCTGGCCTACTTTCTAAAAAGCTTTTCATCAAGGGAACACACACACACCCACATATACACACTCAGTTATTTTTAGTCCTACCAGCAGGCCATTCTCCTCCCTTAGAGTGTTGCAAGTCTTCTCCAGCTCGTCGAGGGCTCGCAGGAGCTCTGAGTTCTGACGCACCAGCAATTCATAATCCATCCCATTCTGTGAAAGAAGCAAAGCAGAAACATTCAGTTTATCAACCATAGTGTGAAGTTCTTTGTTGTTGTTGTTTTTTAGTTTTAGAGAATACAAACCAGGCCAAGAAAGGGATGAACCGGTTTAATAGCTACAGAAAGTACTCTTAAGTTAAATTTAAATGTTTCATATTAAACGAGGGTAATATAGACTCAGAGACTGAGGTTGGCAGTGGTAAGTAGAGATATAAACCCTCGTTCATGGTTTGAGAGATGTTGTACACTATAATCTGAACAATGGAGATCAAATGAAAAGGAATAAAAGTCACGCTATAATGACCCTTAAACGTATTACTTGTAGACTTTCATTGTCATAGCCTCCCTAAACCTCCAGTGATGAGGGGGGGTGGAAATTCCCACCTGAAATGATCCGTCCACAGCATAACTACCAGTACCTCGGTGGGGAATAATAATAACATGTATTTTTGTTTCTGTAAACAGCGTATAGTTACAGCCAAGGCAGAAGACAAACCTTTAAAATCAACACACACAGTCAGCAACAGGGGAGCCATCACCATCTCAGAAGTAAGGGGGACATATTTTCAGTGGTCTTCCAAGATATTTTCTCTTGCTTTTATTGCACCTCTGTTTATTGGTTATGGAACCGAACAAACACAGTGCAGTTCTAGGAGACAGGTTCTGTTTAAAGTAACAAAATTTCAAGTTTTAGCTGCCAAACTCTGGCTGAGCTGTCATAATTACCCTCTGACATCTTCAGGGTAGTTAGCCTGATCATTAGGTGCCAAATTACAACCCTGAACATGAGATGTTTGCTAAGAAAAAAAACATTCCAGTAACCAAAATATGACTTAGTTTTAGCTACAGAATTCTCTATTGTACAAATACACATAACGGAACACAGATCTTACTGAAGGGAAAGATGCGTCTGCTTCTGTCTTTAGCAACAAATCATTGCTGAGCTTTTTATTTCCGATTTAGTAGTTTGTTCAGTTTATCTTTGTGGATATGACAAACAGGAAGACTGCTGAGCTGGGATTGTGTTGCAATGCAGCCTGGTGGTACCTCTGCTCTGACTTCCTGGGCTACTGCCTATCACAATACAGTCAACAAAGTGTCTTGTCTCGATACCTGACTGGTTTCAGCTTGCAGATACATTCAGTTTATACTCTCCTCTTGATGGGTCACACCAGTTGTGAATTAATTTTTTTTTCCATGTCACACTAACAGTGTATAGAGGCTCCGACTGTCCAGTGGGGCGGGATTTTCTTTTTCACTTCTGACTCTGCGCCACACAATTTAGAAGAATTTCCCACATTTGACCTGGACAGATTATATAAAGTTATCAAAATAAATAAGAAAAGAACCGGTGAAGATTTAAAGAATGTCTGTCCTCGAGGACCGCTGTCCTGCAGGTTTTAGAGGTTTCCCTATTCCAGCATAGCTGATTTCCATTAATAGAGGCTTTTGCTGAACTGCAATCATCAGAATAAGCTGTGCTGAAGCTGAGAAATCTCTAAAACCTGCAGGACAGCGGCCCTGGAGGACCGACTGTGGAGATGCCTGCTTTAAAGCAAAGCCCAACTTATTAAGTCTTAAACCAGAACAGATAGAGAATTTGTATAGGCCTATATTAAGAACAAAATGGGAACTAAAGAAAAAGAAAAAAACAGCAATAAAGGCTGTGGAATGGGCAGTGAGAGCTGATTCTCATAGAGAGATCTATGAAGTTTGTCAGTATTTTTTATCTTTTCTTTTTTTCCATAGAGTCATGAGCTTCACTTACCTGATCTGTCTGCCCCTCAATTTTGTTTTTTACTAAGGCTCAAAAAGGATCACTACTTTATCCGTTTTCTGTGCTCCTGGACTCCTATGGTGTGTAAAGTATTCTATTTTTTAATGTTTAATTGATTGTTTTTGCACAAGTCTGTCCCACTTGCTGTGTATGCTCTATGAAACTCCAAAAATGTCTCTTTCCCTGTGCGATTAAATGATTTTATTTTGTATTTTCCCCCCCAAGCGGATGAGTTTTACTTTGTAACCGCGTCTCTCTTCCTGTCAGACCCATGAAATTGCCGCTAAATTGCTGGTTAGTCAGACTGAAATAGACCTGGAGTCTATCTTTGTTGGAGCTAAAATTGTGTTGGGTGTGATAATCTCCATTAACTTTCAATGTGCACTAAACGCCACAACCTCGTCCAACACAATTTTCCATCAGTTTGGTTGGAACATTGGATTTGGTGTGTTCTGGCCTTTACCCGCAAAGACTCTGCATCTTCATCCACTGCTTCTGGCCTCTGCCCTTCTTTGATTTGGGTCTTTTTTAATGTTGCTTTAAAGATTTGGCTTTAATATGTGAAAAGCCTTAGAGAGCAGAAATCAAAGAGGGTTGTGTTTATTCTCACCATGAACCAAATAGCAAAGTATGTAACACAGAGAACAACTAAGTAGGATAACATGTTATACTTGCATGTATTAATGCAACTGTTCCGCCCATGGTCAGCAGGCTCACTTCTCCACTTTGGAGTCCTTTTTGGGTAAAGCTTTGATCACATCTTATCAGACAAACATTCTTTCACTTTTTCAAAAAAAAAAAAAAAATGTCTTTGCTCCTATTTTTTGCTGATTTTATTTCTCCAACCAAACAAATGTGTCTCTGTGTAATCTATGCCTTCAACAGTTGTGAATTGATTTAGATAATCTTCTAGGTCAGAGACATCTGATTCTCTACAGAAGGAACAGAGAATCTCTACACCACCGTAATGGAAATGTACAAAACCTAAGTTATGGCTGCAGGTTCTCTATATCTTCTCTCCTGATGCAGCAGAACGTATTTCAGCTCAGCAGACACTGACCACAATATTTAATAGCCTCTGAAATCTCCAGCACTTTCCATAAGCCTCACACCAAAAAAAACTTAAAATGACTGAGATCAGGGAAAGAAAATTAAAATAGAAATATGCTGATGATGTAGGATATAAGCCCATATATAAGCCCAGAACTTCATGGTATCTTTATTGTTATCTACCATTAAAAGAAACATTGTGTTGCTTAAAAAAAAGAAACAAGAAGGAGCACATTATTATAAGACTATTTGCTTCCATGCATTTATCAGAGGTGGAGAAATACTTCTTATCCAACCGTACAGAGTACATTCATCACAGGGATGTGCTTAGTAACACACTATCGAAACAGATGACTATTAAAGCTAAACAATAAACACTGCTGTTGGTATATTACAATGGAAAAAAATAGAAATCTAGATAAGTAATTTTTTTCTTAAAATAAATGCATTTGTTTTTGATTTGAGGAGGTAATGGAGATACTTTGCCAACAGAATGAAACAATTTACATTTAAAAAAGTGCATATCAAGGGCATATTATCTAATTATCTTATTTTAAGAGTAAAAAATCTCATTCCATTCTCATTCCAATCATCTTATTTACCAACTCAAATTAAGGGTAAATATGCTTAATTTAAGAAATGTTGACTTATTTCTAGATTGTTTTTGCAGTGTGGGACGACTGGGTTACCATCACTTCTTAACGGATGCACCAACGCTGTCGTCAACACACAACATGTTACTATTTCTTTGACTCTTTTTAATTTACCAAGACAGAAAAGCATTTCCTCAAAGATGCTACTTATTCTAAACTAGCTGCATTAAGTATCATAGCTGGAAGTAATAATAATTAATAAAAATTGGTAAGTAACTGACAAAACTTCAATTGATGCAGGACAGAAAACCCTCCCACATCCCTATAGCTTGGGGGGGTGGCTAATTCACTCTGCTGATAATATCCAAGCCTTGATATCGTTAATTTGTTGCTCTACATTGTTGCTAAGGCAAAGACAATGAACTGATTGATTTAATAAATAGTGATCTAAATTTTTATTACAACAAATTAAACGGCCAGGAAAAGCTGACTAAACTCTTAAATGTCTGACTTAACTTCACAACTATATAATAACATAAGATATATTTAGTTTTGGTTTCAAACTAATGCTAAAGGGCCTATATCGTGAAAAAATAACTTTTTTGAATTTTTAATTATTTTATAATTAGGGCAGAGCAACCAATTGCATGTGCTTTATAAATGCAACTTAAAAACACAATTTTTAAATCATGATGTGCTCAAGTTTGGTCTCTGGTCAACTCTATAAAGCCTCAAACTCAATGCTATTCCTGACATTTTGAAGTGAAAAAGCTTCTGGGATGGGAAGCAAAACGTCTTCAAACTTGGAAACAAAGTCCAGGATAGACAGGTATCAGCTATTGCAGGCTAACAAAGATCCCAAACAACTGCCAATTCCTAAGGGGCGGACCCATTTGTCTGGTTCAATTTGCATGTTTTCTAAGCCAAAATAAGGCTTTGATTTGTGGTCCACTCTATTAAACCTCGACCTCAACGCAAATTCTGATATTTTGAATTGAAAAAGCTTCCTGGATGGGAAGCAAAACATCTTCAAACTTGGAAAAC